TGCTTTGCAGTCAAATGGATTGCCGTGATTGCATTCTAGTCACTTAACACCTCCCTTTAAAATCACTAAATTTACTTACAGTTGGAAGTTTCTTTTTTATTGCAGTTAATCACATATGGCCGCAGAATTCCATATGCTGAGTTATTTTCCAGAATTGACAGTGTCGATGCTGGAACAATCAAGCGAGTTGCAAATCGTTTTATTTTCGACAGGGTAAGTCCCTGAGGCCTCCTGTACATCTAGTTTCAGTCAATAACTATTTATATAGGCTATAAGTTGGTATTTTTATTAACACGCGATATTAACTATATGAATTGCATCTTATATTTCCTGAACCACTACAAATGCAAGAGGGTTAAACCATCTTTTTTATATGATTTTCCCTTTGTAGGATGTTGCAATATCAGCTAGGGGACCAATTCAAGATTTGCCTGATTACAACTGGTTCAGACGCAGGACATACTGGCTGCGGTACTAGATTGCTAATTCTTTCCTGATGACTTAAATTCATCTTCTTTTCCCAGTCGTAAGCGTGACATTGGGCATTATACCACACATGGTCTACAAAACACTTTTGTCAATAAAATGAGTGACAAATTTTGTTGATCACTTTTGTTTTTGTACATGATGTTCATGTCAAGGAGAAAACATTACTTGCTTCTGCCTTTGGCTGTCGATTCAGTCAGCATACAGTGGATTCTCTTTATTGTGCAATATATTTTGAAAATTGCATCAACTATTTTCCCTGCATTAGAATTCTTTGGGTAAAATATGCCATTCGTGGTACTGGCGTGTTATTTATACATTCAAGTTTCACTGGTTTGCTGTCTTCAACCAGCTTGTCCCGATTAACTTACACCATCCTCGACTATTCCATTAGCTACCTATTACCAGTCAAATCCGCAGTTAACTCTACTTTGACAGATGTGAAGAACTCTGCTTAGGCAGATGCGAAGAAATCACTTAACATTAGTTGGGACAAGCATTTACTGTGATGAAATTCATGATTGTTTTTATTCTGAAATAAGCATCTAACATTATACATATCATGGACAACTGACCATTTTCATGTGAATTACTTTGATATCTTTGAGGTTAGTTGCTGATTTATACCAAAAGGAATTTAGCCATATCCCAACTGACCCTTGTTGATGTATCTATTGATATCAAAGACAGTTCGGTATACAAAGCATTCCTTTAAAAAGGTCCAAGGAAGAGCCACATTTCAAGGGGTGTGATGTATCTATCTATAATCATCCGAGGGAACATATAAATCTGTTGAGAACAATGTTTTAAGAGGCGGGGATGCAAGGTGAGGTGTTATACCTAGCACGAGAGGTAAGTTTCATGGATCTACGAGGTGTGCGTAAGTCTTATGAATCTTCAATTTTATAATAAGAAAAAGTAAGAAAAATAACAATATGTCAATTATAATTTTTTTCTCATTTTATTACCAAGAAAATAAGAAAAGGTAAAATTTTCAATAATTCTGCAAATAAATTTAAACAAAACAGTATAATATAGAAAAAATTATTATAATTTATTATTTGAGAAAGTTAACAACACAAAAATGATAATATCTGAGATAATATTTAAAATGAAATTATCATCGACTTCCAAAAATGGGTGGGGTAATTCTTTAAAGTAAGGTAAATTTTTTGAAATTAAAACATTAATTGTATGATTTTTCTTAATTCAGTAAATATGAATATGTTAACGAAAAGAGGATTTTTTTTTTTGTTAGACAATAAAAAATATATGTGTTAGCTTTAAATAAATTTACGGTGAAGATTTTTTCCTTTTGAGAAATGCTAGACTCTTTTGGTCTTTTTCTTTTTTTTCTTCACAATTCCATAAAGGTTTTATTTTTAAGACAAAAGGGAGTTTCGAACACAAGAGGAAGTTGTTTGCGTGGTAAACACCTTTTACTTCTTACCTCAATGTTGTTAGTTCGATTCACCAACTTGGTAAGAAAGTGGGAGCTCTTAGGGAAAAAAGTTAAAAAGAAAAAAAGGTTTCTTCTGAGCTCTCTATGAGCTCCCACTGCCCTTCCAAGTTGGTGTCTCGAACACACAACATTGAGGTTGCTTCCCTTCCAAGTTGGTGTCTCAAACACACAACATTGAGGTTGAAAGTGAAAGACATTTACCATATGAGCAATCAAATCTTGTCTCCAAAAATACCTTTATGGAGTTGTGATGGGAAAGAGCAAAAAAAGTGTACATTCTCCAAAAGGAAACAATCTCCCCTCTGAAGTTTTTTCCTAATATAATTAGTTCAATTTTCAACTTTATTCTTGTCTTCTAATTGTAATTAAAGTAACTTATCCTTTTCATCTTTTATATATTATTATACTTTAACCAAATTAAGTTTAATTCCAAACCAGTGGTACCCTTCGGAGTGGCCCAGTGGTTTGAGCTTGGGACTTCCATGTTGGAGGTCTCAAGTTCGAAACCCCTTGCTAGCGAAAGCAAGGGGTTTTCCTTCTGGGTCGAGCTCGTTGCACCAGGCTTGCCTAGTGCGGTTTACCTCTCCTATGTGGTTTGCGAGCTATTGCATAGGAGCGGGGATTTTACCCTGTGCGCACCCAAAGGGTAGCGGCTGCGGGTTTCCCTTGTCATAAAAAAAAAAAAAAAAAATTTTTGTCTCACTACAATTATACAAGTGCAATAAAGGATCTGTAGTTTTGAGGATATAAAACTTTATGTTGATAGTTAAAAAAAAAGAAAAAAAGAAGAGATTAATGTCATGGGGAAAATGTTTTTCCTTGTTGGAAATGCAAACTTTTTTGCTCTTTTCCTTTTTTCATTCACAACTTGACAACAAGAGTGGATTGCTTAGATGGTAAGCACTCTTCATTTCCAACCTTAAAGTTGCGGGTTCGAGTCATCAAGGGAGCAAAAAGGTGGAAGTTCCTTGATAGGAGTTTAGTCCGAATAGATCCTAGAGTAGTTCTCTAACGATGATGGTTGTGAACGATTATGAAGTTGTGAAGAAAAAGAGCAAATAACTCCATAATCGTTTATTGCTCTCATCCTTAGAGCCCTCTATGGTTTCTTTGAACTAACTCCATTATAAGAGCTTTCATCTATTTGTCTCCTTGGTCACTCAAACCCGCAAACTTGAGGTTGGTGCTCTAAGAGCTCTCATCCTTAGAGTCCTCTAACATTTTTAAGTAGTAGTGGAGTTGGGCCAAAGAAATCTTTTTTAACCCCGACCCTTCCTAAAAGCTTCCACCGTATTTGCTCATTTGATGACTCGAACCCGTAATCTTGAGGGTGCTTACTATCTGCGCAACCTCCTCTTATTTCCGGAGAAACCTTTACCGAGTTGTGAAGGAAAAGAGCAAAAAAATTGCATTTTTCAAAAGAAAAAAAAATACCTTCTCATTAAGTTTTTTCCTGATATATAGCTCAAGTTTCAACTTTATTCTTGTCTTTTGGTAGTAATTAAGGTAACTGATTTAATTACAAGGGATTTAAAGAGAGAAAAAAAGGAAGGATTATAATTTTAAGATATTTTTAATTCAATAAACATGAATTTGTTAATGAAAGAGTAAATATACTGTTTTTGTTAGACAATAAAGGTATATATGTGTGACTTTTTTGATAATAAGATATCACTCTAAATTGCAAAATTGAACATTTTGAAAATTCGCATTAGAGGAATATAAATAACTAACATAAAGAAAATTAAATAACTTTATGTTGAAGATTTTTTCCTTTTGAGAAATGTAGATATTTATGTTCTTTTCCTTTTATCCTTCACAATTTCATAAATAATTTTTCTTTTAAGACAGAGGAGTTTCGAACACAAGAGACAGTTGTTCAGATGAAAAACACCTTCATCTCTAACCTCAAAGTTGTGGGTTCGAATCGCCAACTCGGTAAGGAAGTGGGAGCTCCTAGGGAATGAGTTAAAAAATGGTTTCTAAAGAGCTCCCACTTCTACACTAAGTTGGTGACTCGAGAGTGCAACCTTGACCTTAGAGGTGGACGATATTTATCATCTAAGCAACCAAATCTTCGTGTCCGAAAATACCTTTATGGAGTAGTGAAGGAAAAGAGCAAAGATGTGTGCATTTACCAAAAGGAAAAAAATCTTCCCCATGAAGTTTTTTTCATTAATAATTATTTCAAGTTTCAACTTTCTTCTCATCTTAGGATAATGATTAAGGTTTGGAGGAGTAAAAAATGGACAAGGTAATATTTTAAAGTCACGTGATATTTGTGGAATTAAGAAAATCTTTCAGTACAGATGAATATGTTATTAAAAAGAATAAATATGTTTTTTTTATTAGACAATGGATATATATATAACGATGAGTATATCAATTCTAAATTGCGAAAAATTATTCACACTTTTTCCCTTAAAAAAAATGATTTATTCGCATGATATCTGAAAGGCCATAAAAGTTACTTTTAAAATCCCTACACTACAACTGCATCAGAGGAATATAAACAAATGCCATAAAGAAAATAAGTTGTATCAGAGGAATATAAACAAATGCCATAAAGAAAATAACTTTATGGTGAAGGTTTTTCCCTTTGAGAAATGCTGTTTTTTTTTTGCTTTTTTCCTTCACAATTCCATAGAGGGTTTATATTAAGATGGGGGAGTTTCTTACACAAGAAGGGGTTGTTCAGATGGTAAACACCCTTCATTTCTAAGCTCAAGATTGAGGGTTCGAGTCATCAACTCTGTAGGGAAGTGGGAGCGAGTACCTAGGAAATGAGTTTTAAAAAAAAGGTTCTAGAGTGCTCTCACTTCTCCACTTAGTTGGTGACTCGAACCTGCAATCTTGAACTTAGAGATGAACAATATTTTTATTATATCGTAAATATAATCCATTCTTTTCCAAAAAAAGATGTTTATTTTCTTTTAACTACATAGTTTTTAAACTTTCAGTTTATTACATCAAAGTCACTAAGATCACCACATTTAAGGTTTCTTTTCCAAAAAAGATGTTTATTTTCTTTAACTATATAGTTTTTAAACTTTCAGTTTATTACATCAAAGTCATTAAGATCACGACGTTTGAGGTTGACCTTAAGGCCGTTATTCATGGCTATAGTGAATGAGAGTTTTGACGTAACTTGATGACCAGGAACATGAGATAACTCGTATCGAAGTAATATAGCTGAAGCTACAGACTTCATTTCAAGATAAGTTAAGTATTTAGCTATGCATATTCTTGATCCACCATTAAATGCTACAAATTTATATCCATCTTCATGCCTTTCAATTCTTTTTTCATCAGTAGATAGCCATCTTTCCGGTTTAAATTCTATACAATCTTCTCCCCACACAGACTTCATCCTTCCCACTGAGTATAACGATAAAATGATGTCCGAACCAGCTGGTACATAGGTTCCATCCGGAAGGATATCATCACATATCGCATACCTCACAATTTTTGGAACTGCAGGATATAAACGTAGTGTTTCTAGCAACATTGCATGAAGATAGACCAAACTGTTGATTTCATCCATTCTAGTGTCTTTTCTCCATAGGGCGACTCAATAGAATGTGTGACCTAAAACCAAATTATACAGTCATGATATATTAAAAAGACAGAACCTGGTGCATTGGTTCAAAACAATATTCTTACTTATTCATATCAGACTAAAGAAATGGTTTTACCTTTGAGCCACCCTTGTCTTTCCCTCGAGTCTTTTTTAAAACCGTTATGATTTCATGGACGATCTTTTCTTCAACACGAGGGTTATTCATAACGAGCCAAAAAAACCAACTAGCAGATGTAGCAACAGAGTCACGACCTGCTAATAGAATATCAAGAACTGTGCCCATAATAGCAGAGCTAGGCAAAATGTGTCCATTAACTTGCACTTTCTTCATGAATGTCCACAATAAATCATCATCAAAAGTTTCATCTTTATTTCTATTGTTACGTTCTTCTTGTGCCTCAGTTATCGTATTATTCAAAATTTGAATACTCTTCTTTAGGCTTCCTTCAGATCCAATACAGAAAAATTTCATAAATTTCCATAAGATATTGGGATAGAAAAATCTTCTAAAAGCAAATTTAAAAATTGTATCCATTGCTAGTGCAATTGGATCCTCAGGATTTAATAAAGTTTTCATTTTTTTGCCTAGAGCAATTCCAAAAATATTATCAGTACCAAAACAAATCATCAATTTTTGCAAGTCAATTGAAATGTTGTGTTTTGAAGCCTTGTCTAAAATTGGCAATAAATCATTTTTGATTGATGGGTTCACCCAACAGTGTAATGATGGACCAAGCTTCGATTTTGTTAATTCTGGAACCACGATTTTCCTTAGCGATATCCACTCTTCACCCTTAGCACAAGATATACCTGTTAACACAAAAGTTAGCGCTCTGATATCACTTGATAAGAATCACGTAGAAATATGTAAAAGGTAAAAGGAAACAAAAATAGGGATAATCTTAGTAATTCATTTGGTTGGCTGACTACCAATCGATTTCCCACCTTATGTCCATAACATTCAAAAACCTTCTTTACTTTGTTAAACTGCGTGTCAAGTCAAAATCAGATGTTATTACCTTGATTCCCTAGAACGTCGCCAAAGGTGTTTTGCCAAGTTGGACCTTTAGGATAATTATGAAACTTAGTATTAAGAATATGTTCTAAATTTTTTGGATGACATGTAACAGTGCAAAAGCTTCTTCTCCAATTCTGAAGAAAAGGGATGTAAACACCACAAGTTTGATATGTGCCTAATGTTGGACTAGCAAGAAGTTGATCTGTAGTCCATTCATGAATTCTTCTAATATTTAACAACATTTGTGGAATACTACCCACTAATGGCCATGTTTTTGGACCTTTCAATTTTCCTACTAGTAACCAAAACCAAACTAAATAAACACCTACTATAGTCATCAATAAGATGATTGAAACTAATTCCATTATATATAATATGGTTTCTCTAATGATTTTGTAAAGAAAGAGTGAGTTTATATACATACAATGTATACATGGAGTTTGGCAACTTAATTAGTCATGTCATTAAGGTCTAAGATGTGCCCAACCATAGCTAAGGTGTGCCAAACCATACACACCAAAATTTTAGTAGAGTACTTCAATTATAGTTATTTAATGTCTTTTGAGATACCATAAGAGTCGTTTGATTTGTGGAATAAGGAAAATAATTAAGTTGCACAAATTGTATTGCATATTGATTGTATCCTCCCATCCTCTAACACATTACATCTACCTCCACCTCACCCCCGTAGTCCCCATCAGTACCCCACACCCCTACCTCCACCCCATCGACAATAAGGATATATATATGTGCCATTTTTTTAACGAAGGATATATTAACTCTAAATCACAAAATTACGAGATATGTTTGACTATTTTTCCTAAAAATAAGGATTTAATTACATGATATTTTAAAAGGCATAAAAATCACCTTTCAAGATTATTGCACTCATTCACATTTTATTATAGGGGAATAATGACCGCTTTACAGGTTTACCTTCCTACTAATTAGGAAGTTTTAAAGTTTGATTAGTTCATGATCATGTGAAAATTTTCTATTAATTAGGAAGTTTGAAAGCTCGCATCAATTTAGTTTTATTATATCAGAGGAATATAATTAAACATAAATAAATTAAAGTCATGAGGAAGATGTTTTTCCTTGTGGGAAATGTAGACTTTTTTGGTTTTTTCCTTTTTCTTTCATAACTCGACAACAAGAAGGGATTGCTCAGATGGTAAGCACAGTTCATCTTCAACTTCAAAGTTGCGGGTTCGAATCATCAAGGGAGCAAAAAAGGTGGGAGCGCTCCTAGGTGGGGTTAGTTTGAGTATACCCTAGAGGGCTCTAAGAGTGACCGTGGTGAATGATTATGGAGTTGTGAAGAAAAGGGGCGAATCATTCTTAGCTCCTTTCCGATATATAGTATATATATACAACAACATAATCATTAGTAGCTCTCATTCTTAAAGCCCTCTAAGGTTTATTTGGACTAAGTATGCTCCCTTGGGAACTCGATCCCATAAATTTGAGGTTGGAGGTCAGACGTGATTACTATATGTGCAAACCCATTTTTGTCTTCAAAACAAAAACCTTTTAAAAGTTGTTAAGGTTACTACAAATTGTGCAAATTGAGAAACTAACTTTAAGTTGTTGTAATTAAGGTAAGTGAATTAGCGACTCGAACCTTGATCTCAGACTAGAAGTACAATCGTTTTCCCACTAAAGCTAACCTTCTCCTTCTTTTGTATTATACTTCAATTTAAATTTAAATCAAACATCTCAAAACAAAATAAAAACGATATTACTTGTATTATACTTCAACCTCTAAATTTAAATCAAACATCTCAAAACAAAATTAAAACGATATTACTTGTATTATACTTCAACCTCTAAATTTAAACCAAACATCTCAAAACAAAATAAAAACGATATTACTTATGAAACTGGATCTCGACCTTGAATGCTCCCTAGTCCCTATTATAAATAATAATGGGCCACTTCATTCTCAAGCTAAAAAAGCCCATCATGGCCCTTCTACGTTTGGCCCAATAATATAGAGCCCGTTTAAGCATTTTCACTTCTATTGTAAAAAAATCAACTGAAGAGGCTGAGCATGGAGGATTCCGACGAAGAACCGCCGCTCGCCGTCGAAATCAACGACGCCGTCAACTCTAATCAACTGACGGAAGGCTCAGAAATTCCTCCAGTCGGCGTCACCGTCATCACCGGTTATCTTGGTTCCGGAAAATCCACTGTAATTTCTACTTCTCGTTTCCTTATTCAGTTAATAAATTAGGTTAGTTAGTTTGGAATTGAAGCATAATAGTTGATTTTGTTCTTGTTATTGTTAGTTGATCAATTACATATTGAAAACTCAACATGGGAAGAAAATAGCAGTGATACTGAATGAGTTTGGTGAGGAATTAGGAGTTGAGAGAGCAATGATAAATGAAGGGGAAGAAGGTAATCTTGTGGAGGAATGGGTAGAGCTTGCAAATGGATGTATTTGCTGTACTGTGAAGCATAGTTTGGTTCAAGCATTGGAGCAGCTTGTTCAGAGAAAAGAGAGGTTAGAGGATCTTGCTTCTCCACGTTTTATGATAATTATTACTCACTCCGTTTCAATTTGTTTATTCTGCTTTACTTTTTTAGTTTAAAAAAGAATGTTTTGTTCCTTTTCTTGCAAGTATTTAGTTTCAACTTTATGCATGACATGATTAAGACTACATTTTGATATATTTGACATATCTTTTAGTTTTTAGTTTTTAGTTTTTAGTTTAAGACCACAAGATTTAAACTCTGTGTCAAGTCTAAACCTATGGTATATTGTATTGTCCTTTTAAATACAATGTTTGTCTTGATTATTATTTAAACTTTATGTATCGTATTGTTAAATCTGTCGTATGTGACGATGAAAAGTGTCATTTTGTGTAACTACCGATTTAGTTTGATCACCTTATCTTTTTTACCTTCATCTTGCACTTTCGTATTATTTAATAATCTTAGTGCAAGTCTGTTTTTACAAGGGTGTTCTTTGAATAATCATTCCTTGCATGTTAAGTTTGGAGTAAGGCAACAAAATTCTGTAATTATTTGCTTAAGTATTTCACCTTATTCAAATGTAATGATGAGCAGTTATTTTGTTTGTTTGCAGACTTGATCATATATTGCTAGAGACTACTGGTTTGGCAAACCCTGCACCTCTTGCATCTGTGCTTTGGTTGGATGATCAGCTGGAATCAGATGTTAGGCTTGACTCCATTATCACTGTGAGTTTTGTGTTTTCAGAATTTTCCTTATTTTCTTTTACTATTCTGTGCATGGAGAAAATAATTTTATCTGCGAAGTGAAGCCGCCTAGAATTTGTTGTTCTATGGTTTTACTCTTAGATATTGCGATTAAAAATTATTTTGCTGGATAGATGTGTATCTTAGGAATTGCTTATTATCTTCATTTGCATACTTATTCTGTTCTCTTATATGATTAACTTCATATGCAACAGGTTGTTCTCATTGTTGCACTTCTTAAATCCTTGCCATTTTATTTTCCAGTTTTGCATAATTTTGGGTTTTAATTAGTTTTGCTTCTGTGACAGGTTGTTGATGCAAAGAACCTTCGGTATCAGCTAAAACCAAATCCTGACTCCTCTTCATTTCCTGAAGCTTATTTACAAATAGCTTTTGCGGTAATTGATATGTTAGTTTCTCCATTCAATCATCTCAGGTTTCTAATTAGGCTTTCAATCTTTTTTTCATCTTTCTAGTGGTTGTATTCCCATTCTTATAGGTGCTAACTAGGACTTTACTTCATACAGTAGGTCTGGATTATGGATGAAATCATGTCTAACTTTAATTTGTGAACTGTTGTGTGTAGGATGTTATCATTCTTAACAAGGTTGATCTAATTTCTCAAGATGACTCGGGAGCAGTACTAGAGGAACTGGAGAAGGAAATACGTGATGTTAATTCCCTTGCTAATATTATTCATTCTGTGCGCTGCCAAGTTGATTTGTCAAAGATATTAAACTGTCAGGCATATGATCCTACTGTAAGTAATGATCCTTATACATGAAATTCAGCTATTGTTACTTAGCAGATGGAAAGCTAAATAATCTTCCATTTTCCTGATTTTTTAAAGCATGCTGCTCATCTTGAAGCGTTGTTAAAGGAAAACAAATCTCTAACTACTAAAGGCCTTCATGACAGTGAAGTCAGAACATTGTGCATCTGTGACGCACAGCAGATTGATCTTGATAAGGTAACTTTTTGAAAGGGGTGCTGGTATGTGCTTAGAGGGCTATGATATTTGCTAGCTACTTCCAAGTGTTGATTCTTTCCTTGTAAAGCAAACAGGGGCTTGCCAATGGTGTCTGATATTTTTTTTTCTGAATATCAATGCACCTCAAAGCCATTTATTGTAGCCCATTCATATTATTATCCTTTTTATGCTCCAGTTGTGGTTTTACCATAATTTCAAACACAAAGGTTGACTATTCACTATCTTGGATCACTAAAGTCCTCATTTGCCTTGTTGGAAATAGGTTCGTATATGGCTTGAGGAGCTCCTTTGGGATAAAAAGTATGGCATGGATGTTTATCGTTGCAAGGGAATTTTAAGAG